TTGTTCTTAAAAGCTATAATCATATCAGCGTTTTGTATTTTGACTGATGGGCCCAATCAACAAAGGCCTATTAACCATTTATCAATTTATAACATGACGTGACTTAAGATTGTATTACTGTAATATGCTAATAACTCTCAATATTTAATTAAAAAAAAATCATTGCACACAAATTTTATCCAACGTTGACATTATTTCATTACTTTTTACTTTTTATAAATTACTCATTAAATAATTAATTTGACCATATATAATTTATTTTAGATTAAGCCACTTTTAACTTATGCAAAATTTATACTAAAAAAAAAAAAGAGAGAAAAGAGTTAAATAGGTCCCTAAACTTTATCCTAAAGGTCAATTAGGTCCGTAAACTTTAAAAAAATTCAATTAAACACTCAAACATATCAAATTGGGTCAATCAAGCCCAAAAACTGATAAATGGCCTTATATTACAGGTCATTTTTATTCCGGCGACGGATTTCGGCCACCGGTGACGAATTCCGGCCACCGGCGACCATTTCCGGCCGCCGGCTCCTTTTTCCGGCCGTCCGATCGTCTTCCAGTGGAGAAGACGACCAGATCTGGTCGTCTTCTCCAATGGAGATGGCGGTCGTCCGGTCGTCTTCTCCAGTGGAAGACGACCGGAAAAAGTCACCGGTGGCCGGAAATGGTCGCCGGAATTCGTCACTGGTGGCCGGAATTCGTCGCCGGAATAAAAATGACCTGTAATAACAGGTCATTTACCGGTTTTGGGGCTTCATTGACCCAATTTAACATGTTTGAATATTTAATTGAACTTTTTTAAAGTTTAGGGGCCTAATTGACCTTTAGAGTAAAGTTTAGGGGCCTATTTGACCCTTTTCTTAAAAAAAAAAAAAAAAAAAAAAAAAAAAAAGTCATGCAAATTTAAATTGTCTGGGCGCATTTAAGAGAGCAATTAAAACAATTCATTGTTTTAATCAGTTTTCAAAATGAATTGACCGACCCCACCCCGTTTAAACAAAAAGTGTATATATATATATATATATATATATATATATATATATATATATATATATATATATATATATTCATATATTCACGTAAAAACAGGACTTAAAATACAAACGTGTGGATATTTTTGGATCGTTGAATTTTGGGTATTTAAGATTGTGATTAATTTCTATGATTTTGTGTGATGCTCGCCTGTGTGCACTGTCATTCATGGACGTGTGCACGCCGGCCCAAATATTGTGGATTCACGCATGCATACTATATTGGATGTGTGCACTATCGTCCACGGATGTGTGCACACCTGCATTTAAGTATGTGCACGGTATATGTCCACATATTTGTACTTTAAGAATGTTTGCCTGTGAATGCAACCATCCATATATATATATATATATATATATATATATATATATATATATATATATATATATATATATATATATATATATATATATTCACCTACAAGCGCACCTACTTTCACCTACAAGTGCACCTACTTTCGCTTGCAAGTGCATGTAATTTTGCCTTGTTAACATTCATTGATCTGAGTTCGTTCTGTTTGACATCGTTTTTGTTCTTGCGGGAAGTTCAGCGGGTAGTAGTACCCATGAAAACCACCGCAAACATTCATGCACCTAGGTGCAACTACTTATAACTATAAGTGCATTTAGTATTGATGCTCAGTGTAAATTTTACTTGCACCTATAATATATTTTACATGCACTTGTAATACATTTTACTTGCACTTCGATGTTTAATGATTTACGAAAATGAAACCGCGTTTTTTTAAAAAAATCAGTGTTTCTCATCCATTAAATCTGGACATGTGGACGGATATTCGATGTTCAATGATTCGCATATTCGCACATGGACGCTCCATTCGCAGAAGAGTGCAATTGTATATATATATATATAGGGATGCACTCAGGTGCGAATAAGTGCTCAGGAGGGAAATGCGAACGAATCAGCGCGTGACACCTGTCCAGATCTAATAACTTAAAAAAAAAACGCGGTGGCATTTTCGTAAATAATTGAACATCGAAGTGCAAGTAAAATCACTTACAAGTGCACCTACTTTCACCTATAAGTGCATGTAATTTTGCCTTGTTAGCATTCACTTTCCGCAAAGATTCATGCACCTGGGTGTGCTTATAACTATATGTGCAACTATTTATAACTATAGGTGCAACTACTTATAACTATAGGTGCACCTACTTTCACCTATAAGTGCATATAATTTTTCCTTGTTAGCATTCACTTTCCGCAAACATTCATGCACCTGGGTGTGCTTATAACTATATGTGCAACTATTTATAACTATAGGTGCAACTACTTATAACTATAGGTGCACCTACTTTCACCTATAAGTGCATGTAATTTTGCCTTGTTAACATTCATTGATCTGAGTTCAGCGGGTAGTAATACCCCTGAAAACCACTCGCAAACATTCATACACCTAGGTGCAACTACTTATAACTATGTGTGCAACTACTTAGAACTATTGGTGCAACTACTTATAACTATAGGTGCAACTAAGCATTGATGCTCAGTGTAAATTTTTACTTGCACCGATAATACATTTTACATGCACTTGTAATACATTTTACTTGCACTTCAATGTTCAATTATTTACGAAAATACCACCGCATTTTTTTAAAAAAATCAGTGTTTCTCATCCATTAGATCTGGACACGTGGACGGACAGAATCCATTCCTATTTCGCGCCTGGGCGAAGCATTCGCACCTGAGTGCGATTATATATATATATATATATATATATATATATATATATATATATAGGGAAGGGATCAGGTGCATTTGTTGCTTCCCGTGCGGATGTGCGGTGGATTAATGTGCGTGAGATTTGTACTCAATGTGTCTGATATTTGTACTTAATGTGCGTCATGTTAATATGCGTGAGTTTTGTACTTAATGTGCCTGAGTATTCTGTTTAATGTGCGTGAGATTTGTGCTTAATGTGCCTGAGTATTTCAGAATTACGAGCTCAGAAAGAAGCAGAACAGAAACTCACGCACATTAACGCCCAAGCTTCTTGTTACTTCTTCCTTCAATTTGGCCATGGATTCTGGGTTATCAGATACCTTCAATGCAGTTGAATGTTTATATAAATAACGCAAGCACAGTAAAATTTGCACAGCAACAAAGTGTGGATTTCTGTTGTATTATTCCCATAATTCTTAACCTCCTTAGCTCGCCTCCGCATCATCATCATCAGGGAGGGGGCAAATGGCTACTGGGGATGGGGAAGAAGCTGACATAATATTTTACACATTCACGCACATTAAGTACAAATCTCATACACATTAAACACAACACTCACGCACATTGAGTACAAATCTCACGCACATTAATCCACCGCACATCCGCACGGGAAGCAACAAATGCACGTGAACCTTTACTATATATATATATTTTTGTTAGATCACGAGATGTCTAGAGCATGCCCTAACTATAAGAGACACATTTAAGTACGTACTATATTCAAACTAATCTCCATTTACATTGGGACATCCCAATTAAGGGGCAACCTATACCATACACTAATCTCCGTTTGCGCACGACCAAATTAAGGGGTAAATTGCTAGTCATATTGATTTTTTTATACAATAGGATTTCAAATTCTCGACCTCTCTTAAAGGATAAGAGTGCACGACCATTTACATAACTAAATTGATATAAAACATATATTTATTATTAATTCAATAATACGAATCATATATTATGACTTCAAATCGTGAAAGGGGGATATTGGTGAAAAATGTTGACTAAGAAGAGTTGGAAAATGAGATAAAAAGAGGTTAAGTTAGGTGAGAAACAAGAATTGAAGAAGGGGGTCTAAGGTAGTCAAAAACGATGAGCTGCTGACTGCTGTTGCGAATGAAAGGAGACAAAAGAGTGTGACAGGTTTGTTTCAATTCTGTTCTGCTAAGCCCATATTAACATATTTTGGTATCTTTCTTTCTTCTGGTCAAACATGGCTGCCTAATAATATTGTAAATATCTCTGCTTCATCATTGTGCATTTGTGCCACCACTACAAAAATATTGTTCCCTAATTAAAATTCTCAAAATTGGATTACTTCTTCTATCTCATATATTTAAAATATATATATATATATATATATATATATATATATATATGTGTGTGTGTGTGTGTGTGTGTGAGAGAGAGGGGGGGGGGGGGGGGGAGGGGGGAGTGTTCAAGTATTTGAACTTCTTTATAAGATTGAGTGGATGATCAACTTTTTGATATTTTAATTTCTATTCAAATAAATTTAGTAGTTCGGATAGTTAATAAATGGATAGTTAATGTAACTGTAATATTGTAATAATTGAGTTAAAATTTTGATATTTTAATTTATATTCAAATAAATTTCGTAGTTTTGAGAGTTGATAAGTGGACCGTTAATGTAACTGTAATATTGTAATAATTGAGTTAAAAAATTATTTGATATTTTAATTTATATTCAAATAAATTTAGTAGTTTGGACAGTTGATAAGTGGACAATTGATGTAAATGTAATATTGTAGTAATTGAGGTAAAAAAGTGATATTACAAAGTGAAAATGTGTAAAGCAAGGTTGATAATCTAATTCAATTCCTATCACTTTTTCAAATTGAAGGAATTCAGAGGTTAGAAGGTCTATGTGTGATATTGATACAAACCAAACACATTACATTGGAATAAGTTATGCGAATAAGCCAAATATAAAATATGCTTCTATGATCTCAATGCATTTTATTAGTGGGAGTAGGATTCATTTAGAATTACAGTATTAGAAACTGTCAAATACATAAAACAAAACCTAGTATCAAATCTGCAAAAATAACCAAACAAACCATATGTTTATACTCATACAGTATATTCAATGTTCCCAGATACATCAACTCACCTGAAGCTGCCCCAATAAATCAACTTAAATTTTTAATTGATTGTTCAGTTAACATTTTTTTAAATAAAAATTTGTAAATAATGAGAGATGTATGGATTCTTTGAACATTTTGCATTGAGACTATTTTAACATTTACAAGTATTTGGGACTTGGGAGAGATGGATGGCAGTCTCCCCACTCAAATGAAACAAGTTCAGATCTTCCACTTTCAACATGATTTTCCTCACTCTATTACATTACATACAATTATATATCTTCCCTTTATGCTTGTTTAATTATGTATGTATCAGAAAATAAAATTAAGAAAAAAAATGCAGGGAAACCTAGCATCATCATCGTGACTTCATCTATCTAGCTAAATCCTTTTTACAGAGAGGGCAGCAAGATATGATTCTGAGCCATTGATCAACACAGTTGAGATGAAATACATGGGAACATGGCAGTTGTCTCATTTCTTCCTTGTCACGATACTGTGCTAAGCAAATGCAGCATTCCTGTCAACAAAAAAATGTTTAGCCACCTTATAGGTTTAACAAGAATTTGGAGTGTCAAAGTTTTAATGAGAGGCTATATAACATACTGGATTTTCATTCTCCAAATCTGGGTTGTTGCAGACTTGCTTGTACTTCCAGGTTGGCAAACTAGAGAGCTGTTCATTGGATGCCCCCCGCTCGACAGATCCCATGTTCATGTTGTATCCTAGGAAGCTGCTAACCATGGGCACACAGCAGCACAGCACCACAAACAGAATGAATGGGAATGAGTAGGTGACAGCATTCCAGGCCAGCAGAGAGATGCATAGAACATGGAGCTTTGGGGCACGACGAAACGATCCAAATCGCGTGTCAAACACCCAAACGTTCCCCATCACGAACCATATCGCGAAGAATAGCTCAACGCAGGTCCTGCATTTCTCCACCATTTGCACACTTTTGTCCAACCCAAGGAGATATATAAAACCAAACATGTTACTTTATTTTCAATTCTAGCTTATAAGTTAGCTTAAAAGTTAGCAACTACTTGCTTATAGCGTTTCAAAATAAACTATTATTTATGTTTTACTGAACAGAGCTTATAGCTTATTTGTAGCTTAAAATAAGTTCTACCAAACAACATAGCAGAACGAAGAAAGACAAATTAAACAAGTGGAAAATATATAGTTACCTTGATCCCTCAAGGCTTCTTTGCTGCTCTATATCAGATACTGCAGAAGACTCATCTCTCTGCCTCAGATAGAACACCCAATATCTGCAGTAGAGTAGCAAAAGGCTAAGCAGACAGCCAAAAGCATAGCCCGAAACCCAAATTCGCATCGGCCAAACAGGCCTTTCCTCCTTTGAGACAGCCAGGGTATATGCTGTAAACATGATTTGGACACTCAAAGTTACACACTCCATCATCATCCAAGTCAGGGAATTGAACGGATTCGACCCGAGATCAGACGTTGTTGATCCATTCTGGTAGTGAAACACTCTTCTCAGGAAGATGAACCACCTCGCTCTCGATATTCTCATTGCCACTCTCACCATGAAAGGAGAAGGCTGTGTTCTTGACTGGCTCTGGGTTCTTGCAACCACAGACATCATCGTATCTTCGCCCGAAGTGGCTGCAGCCCCGGAGTTACAAAACGAGTCTGTCGTTAACAACCCACGATTATTCATATTCATATTCGCTCGATCAACCAAGAATCTATATGAAAAATAACATAACTCGGCCTCTGGATTTTGAAGAAGGGGGAGCAGAGAGGGGAATAAAAGGACAGAGGAACAGCAGGGAAGGTGAAGATTGGTAGAGACGATGACCAAGAATCAAACCTCTCTTCTTCTGCAGCTTTGCTTTGAGTTGAAGTGAAAATTGAATTGAAGAAAGGAGTTGAAACTATAACCGTTGGCCTAACTTCCCCCCATTTCTTGGTTTGTTTAGTATGTAAGCAAAGGCTGAAAGTAACTGGTTCTTGGAACACACATCACCTAAGATTAGGAAACCAGCAACAGATGATATTCGATTTCTGTGACGTTAACGTCGACTTAATCCGGATTATAGAGGGCCGGGCCAAGTGATTTGATTAATGGAAAGCTACGTTTGCCAATATAGGATTATGTGTGTCTAAGATGAGATTTTGAATTGCGGCGGGTACAGTGGTTATTTGATGGTTGAACTAAGCAGTTGGCCACCTAATCAAACCAGTTCCATATCCTTTGTATTATATATGTTGCTAAAATCTCTATGGATTATTGGTCAGCCTCTGCTACATGCCGGTGACTTCTATTAATAACTTATGCCTTTGAGTTTGAGTACTTCTTACTCCGTTATAATATAATATCTGTTTATATCTACTGAAGCGCAAAGAATTCATAAAGAATCAACGTTCATGACCTCTTATTTGGAAGATACTCTTCATTTCACTAGACCACAAGGTCATTGACATGTCATGAGTTTCTTTCTTCTTAGTTTTGACTAGACAATTTTCAATCATAAGAAATTTTTTTAGTTTATTTTTTCTTTCTATAAATTGTGTAGAAATTTATTTTCCAATTGATTTTTTTAATCACATTTTTTTTATGGTGTTGGTGTATAAAAAACTTTTAACTCAAATATATTTGTAATGGTTAAAAATACTTTTTTCCCTCATATTCCTTAGAATTTTAACAAATTGAAGTAATTTATTCTATAACTACAAATAATTATTTGATAGTGTAAATAGTTAAATGTTAAATATGATTGATGAGGACTTCATTTGCTTAATGTACTATAAGAATATTTTAGTAGAATAAAATATTATCAAATCAATATATATTTCTAAACAAACAAACCATTCAATTATCATTTATATATTAAACTATAAATAGTTTTTATTTATTTATTTTGATCTTTTAATTTTTTTTTTATCATTGGCATTTATTAAATTCCGAAACACCCTACATATAACTATTATTACAATAAATACAAGTAGTAGCTTTTTTTTTTTTTTTTTTTTGGTTGCAAGTAGTAGCTTTTCTTTTAGAACAAAATACAAATATATGATTATATTCCACGTGGGAGGCAAGTAGTGTTGGGACTAAGGGTATGGCTGACCTCTCCTCCTAACTTTAAGAAGAATTAAATCAATCAATAATATATATATATATATATATATATATATATATATATATATATATAAATAAGAGCGCTCATATGTGGTCATGTCATTATGTATGGCGGTGTGGTCGTATTTGTGTCGTTGAGTTAATTTAATCTAACGACAGTGGCTAATTCTGAGGATTTGTAAATTTTTGGGCGTTTTGGTAAGTGGGGGTGTTATGGTAATTACAATGGCCATTTATAGCGGCCGATTTTCAGAATACACCAACAGTGTTGACAACATGCACCAATAGTGTAATAAAACACATCACAATGAAACGCACCAATAGTGTATTCCCGAACACTGTATGTTGTATTTATTCATATCTAATGGCACGTTTTTGGTGATGCGTACTTAATTTGTGTATGTTTTTTTGCTTTGCATTTCATAACATGGATGGTGTATATTTGTATAACAATTGGTGCGGCCGCACTGACCACACGGGAAGGCATTGTCACACCTGAACTTGGCACCAATGGGAATCTACAAATACACCGGAGTAAGGCTAATAATGCACCAACTACACAAATAAAACACACAACAATGTGATTTTCCTTATTCCGGTGCCCTATGACGAGTTTACCCTTGCAGTTCGCTGGGTAGGAGAACGTGCGCGAAAATACTAAAAAAAAATCTTAATTAATGTGATTCATTGGATCTATCTAATCTAATGGCCTGTAATTGACCATATGACTACACCTAACAACATGGTGCACTTGATCGCCCCTATATATATATATATATATATATATATATATATATATATATATATATATATATATAACGGATCGGGTGCGAAGAAAGCATTAAGTGAAAAATAGGGTTTAATTTCATTCGTTGATTCGGTTTAGATCAAGGGTCCAAAATGTAGATATTTCAAAAAAAAATATGGTGGCATTATGGTAATTTTATGTACATAAGTTAATATTTTTTGTCTTCCGATGCATTTTTTCTTATTGCAGAGCACAATGTTGTGTCTTTCAGAGCACATTGATATGCCTTTTAGTGCACATTGCTTTGTCTTACAAAGCACATTGTTGAGCATTTCATAGCACATTGTTGTGTTTTCATGAGCACATTGTTGTGTCTTCCATAGCACATTATTGTGCATTTTCGAAGTGTATATTGTTTTGCCTTAGTGTGCATAGTGTTGAGCCTTCCAAAGCACATTTTCCTTTATAAGTAATATTGGCAAGTGTTTGTTACTTATAAAGGAAAATGTATTTTTTAATCAAAATGTAAAAGTATTACATTTTTCTTCAAAAGTATTACACTTTTATATATAAGTAATAAACATTTTATTCCTTATTAGTATTACATTTTTTAGTATAAGTATTACATTACACACACACACACACACACACACACATTGATGTAGCAAAAATAAGATGAGAGCTCGGGTGTAAAATGTCGTCCTCCGTAGATTGGGGGTTATGGCATGCAATATGTAATCACAAGAACTAGGCACTAGTATAAGGAAATCAACAAGAAGCTAAGCAAACAAGTTTAAGGAAATGGTAAGACTAACACATATACACAAAGATAAACACAAAATAAAGAAATAGGACTCAATCTAGGAAGCATTATCTTCTAGATACTTCAACAACCTATGGGATTAGGGGGAACAAATAACCAAGGAATCAAGTGGGAATGCACGTAGGTATCCTAGTCTACGAACCACTCTCGTGATTAATAAACAAGGATTAGAACAAGGAATTGCTCCACTCTCGTGACGTATCAATTCCAACTCCATAAAGCACACAAAGCATCTAAAGTCTCCAATTTCCCCTATTTTCGTAGGAAGAAATCGGGTATATGCAAGGGGTGGCTCGGATTCATCACACCCAACTCTCGTTGAGGCAAGCAATCCTCCAAAAATATGTCAAAGAATGTGTACATCAAACATTAACAAGATATAAACACAACACCTTCACAAACACATGAACCCTAGGTTTGAGTTCTTCCCCTTTTTACAATAATCACAAATCAAGCATAAAGACAGATAATACAATCCTAACTATACGTCCATAAACTAACTAATCGTGATTAAATAGCATAAAGAACACAAAAACACAAGTAATAAACATAAATCTTGCAAAATAAAGAAATAAAAGGAATGAGAACTTATGTATTAAAAATGAAAGAACAATCTTAAAATGTTGGAATCCAAGCTTCAAATATGAGATTACAAGCTTCCAAAATGTTATAGAACCTAAATGTAAGTCTAATCTAACCTAAAAATATGAAAGAAAGTGAAAGAGAGAAGCTAGGGCTCAACCATGGGTTAAAACCATGTAAAAATGAGTGAATCCGCGCCTAAATAGTGAACAAAGCACCGAGGAACTGCCTCAGGGATGGCCATCCCTGAGGCAGTACACAATATTCCAGTGCTCACTGGAATAGACGTATTGGCATGCGTACGGGACTCTCAGCTACAAACTGCTTATGGATGGTCAGATGGATGGGCGTACGTGAGGCAGTACGAGGCTCCTGAAAATTCCTAAATGCATCCCAAACTCTTTGATTGATCTCTTAGTCCAAGAATTGCTCGAATCTTCCCCAAAAATATTGAATTCCTCACTTGTTGTGAATGATTGCACCTTGAATAAAACCAACATAAATTAGTCACAATTCACACAAGTTTTTAGGCAACTCACAAATAAAATGGGATCAAGACGAAGTAAAAATATAGACACACACACTAGTCTTTTCTATGCGCGATGCGCAAAAATATATGTCCAATGTTTATATTTTTAATAATTAACAAATCCTTACTAATTAAAATCTATATGAAATTAAATTTATTTATTATATTAATTTAATATATAATGTCTATAAATATTATTATATTAATCCTCTATATATATATATATATATATATATATATATATATATATATACTCACCTTTTAATTATTATAAGAGTTTTTTTTCAACTAATTTTTTTTCTATTAATTTTGTTAAGTATTTTAAATTAACTACTGACAAGAACAACTTGAATAATTGAAAATATTTTTTTTGCTTTAAATTTTTCTTATTTTTATAGTAGTACTTTAAAAATAGAATTTAGTGTGATATTAATTTTCATAAATATAACAAATAAGATTGTATATATACTTTAATTATAGAGTAAGTAAACTGTTTTATTATAACAGTTTGCTAAATTGTTAATAATATTTTTTCATAATCTAATTTGTGTCTAGAAAAAAAAACATAGATTAAATAATTATTTTAAAGCACATATATTTAGTTTCAATAAAATCCAATGTTAAAAATTGGCATGTGAATATCTGATAAAAATAAGTGATACTAATCTTGTAGAAGTGTAGAACTGGACAAGACAATATTGATTGATAAAAATTTTGGATAGACATTGACGAAGTGACGCTTGTACAAGGATAACGATTCTATTATTGAACAATAATTAAATTCGAACAAAAAAAATATCGAACCAATTTTTTTAATTCTAAATTTTATGTCAAGTGACATAGTTTTATCTAATTAATTCTTAATCAAGTCAACTATGAAGAATTATAATATTTGTCACAAACTTCATTATTAGGTTAGGTGATTGCGAATGACCTTCTGATCAAGTGGCTTAAAAGACTCTCTCAAATGGGAAATCATGTGTTTGTGTCTCAATAGGGTGAGTATTGAATCTTTGTGCTTCAATATATTGGTATATTTGAACAGATATTACATGGGATCGACCTATTGACCTTTTTAGTTTGAATTTATTAACTATGAGTAACCTTGATTGATTTCCCTCATTATAACATATTGACCTTATTGGTTTGAGTTTGTTAGCTACAGTGACACAAGTTATGATTTATCCAATGTACACCCTTGGATAATGAATGTGACATTTTTTTTATCATACATAAAATATTAAACAACGAAAAATACTATTCAAAAGTTAACTTTAAAGTGATATATATATACTTCATTCGTGCATATTTAGATATAAAATTATTTGGTTTCAAAAAAAAAAAATACAAAGTCATTTATAATATTTTCAATGCAAATTTCTTCTAATTAAAGTTTCATTAATTTTCAATTGGTAATTGCAACGAATCTATCAATTCTACAAATATAATTACCAAGTATAAAAACAAGAGATTACATACATAAAAGTGATTTATGATCATTCGCTGCCTAATGTAAGAGGTTGCTAATTATATTATAAATATATTAGGCGTGAGTCTTGGCATGTTTTTAATGAGTGAGAGTGTATGATCAGTCACGCTAACTAAACTGGTTAATATTAACAAAAATTTTGTGCTCAGATGACTTGTGGCTCTCCCTGAGAGAAGGTCACAAGATCGAATTCGGTGGTGAGATATTGACTCTTTGGGTTGTAACAGATAGAGAAAGTATGAACATATATTATATTGTAATAGAGTCAATAGTAATTAACAAAAAACTTCATTACCTATTATAAATTGAATTTTTCATATTAAAAATGTCGCGTGAAAAAAAAAAAAAAAGAGTATATCTAGACAGTACTCACAATGTTAATGGAATTGAATTTAGCCTATATTGTTGTTGAATTCATCTTTTAATTCCCCTCTTTCGAACTTTAATTTGATTTCACTTCATGTTGATAATTCTCTAATGCATGGGAGATGAGTGGTGGATAAGCTAGCAACGCAGGGGAGAATGGGAGATGAGTGGTGGATAAGCTAGCACCTAGATTCAAGTCAATTGGGCTTAAAAAAAGGAAAAAAAAAAAAAAATTATCTGAATTCACTGATAAGTGATGACGAGTAAATTATGTTTTTATGTATTAGTCCGTAAATCACATAAGTAAATTATATTGTGAAGCCTTTATGTGATAAGTTAAATTAGAAAGAAATTGATAAAAGATAAAAGAATCATAATTTGTCCACTTAACGATTCACTTAATAATAGAGACTCAAATTTGGTGATCGATTTTATGATTGAAGTTGTCAATTTATCAATAATCAATAATTGAATTAGAGAGGATCAGATCATTACCCAACTCTATCTTCATAAAGGAAGAGTCTGAGAATATCTCTTCCCAGTTTGACAGCACATCTCATCATAGATAACAAGGCAGATGGGTCCATAATATGTGTAACATGTCACTCTAGCTTGGTGATTCTACTCATTGCTCAATTTGTTTAATTTTTTTTTTTCACTTCATATATATGTTTTTTTAGGAACATTTTATAAATAAAACAATTATACTGAAATTAGTCTTTAAAATAAAATTAAAAAAAAAAACAAAAAAACAAAAACAAAAGCACCTGGGGAAAATACAATCTAAATTGTGAAGCTCGTGCACTTAAAAATCTTTATTATTTGTCAATATGTGCCTTTATAAATAAACAAATCCAAAGACTTGCAAAATAAAGTGAAATCAATCTTCAAATAATAAACATAATAAATTTACAATTTCATTACACAAAGAATCCTTAACAGAATTAAAAGACAAATATAATTAAAAAGCAATTAAGTTCCTAATTCCTAATTACCTACTACAGTATACATTATAAATAACCCCGGAGTACATTTTTAACTGGCAAATTAGGTCGTGCATCCGTGTGCTGTGCACCATGTATGGTGCACACGATTGTAAAAACGGCGTCGTTTTACTTAAATAAAAAAAAAAATTTTGATTGCCGTTAGTTACGTAAACATATGTTCATAATTTTATAATTTTATATTCTGAATGTATAGTTATGAAGTTATATATGGATGTGTAGTTATGCAATTCTGAATGTATAGTTATGAAGTTATGGATATGTAGTTATGCATGCAATTCTGAATATATAGTTATGTAGTTATAATTTCACATTCTGAATGTATAGTTATGAAGTTATGTGATTGTAGTATATTTTCAAACAAATAAACTTTGAGTAACGAGTTATCGATCCACAGGGAAGTGGGTATTAAGCACCAATTACTAATTTATTCATGAGAAGCTAATCCTAATGATTAAGAGTGAAGGATGCAAATAAATAAATAAATAAAAGCAATAATTCAGGTTTTGAAAACAATAGAGAGGGAGAATGAGATTCCTGGGATTCAAGTGTTTAATTACCTAGTGTCTAACCTAATGTAATATTAAATATGGGTTTAAACGAGTGTGAGGATACAAAGTGGTATAGAGCTACTCTTGTAGTCACTAACAGTAGTGAATATCCACTCTCGTGGTATAAACACCCAATAAAACAAAAACAGGCATCATAATAAATTCCTAACTACTACCATGTGCAATAATCAATAATTAAACTCCCTAACAAAGTTACCCTTTTCTCAATGTGCAACATGCCAACAGTTAGCTAGGTGCAATTGTGTTAAACATTTTTACCTAAGAATCTCTAAAGTATTTAGCCAAGCATGGCTAAATTATACATAGCAAATATATTTAAAAAATTACAAATCATCAAAGAGAGTACAATAATGGACCAAGAGATTTTCCCAAATCTCCTTAGCTTTCTTCTTGCTTCCCAAGACGACTCGTGGTTCTTGATTTTCTCCTCTTTCGTGTCTCCAAAGATCTCTGAATGAATATTAGGGTTGAAGAAAGATGAATTTTATAGTATGAATCAATCCCGGAGGAATAGGAATTTTCCGTGCAAAACTGGGCCGAAATCGCGCCTGGGCCGCCATTTTCGCCGCGTCGAGCCTTAATCCTCAAGTTTCAGAATGCACACTGAAAATTTTCAACACGTCGAGAATTTCCAGTGTCGTAGGCCCGTCTTGCAAGCTGATTTTGGCCCTTTTCCCTTCAGATCTGGACTTCGATGTCTTCATAAGAGTTGTAACCCTTCGAGTCTTCTTTCCAATGGCGCAAAATCACTTCATTTGGATATTCCTGGGCTAAGATATGGTCCAAAAACCAAACTGTCGCCAATCAGTGTTAGAATTTTCACTTATTGCTCTTTTGCTCCACTTTTACCTCGGTTTGCCCAAGTGATGAAGACCATTAAAACACCACTCTTTGGATCCCTTTTGAAGTATTTAAGCCACCTCCTTAGCCTCACATTGACTTTGTTTTGGCTCTAAACTCGTCCTAGAACTTCACTTGCTTTTGCACTTGATCTGTAATGGTTCCAAAACACTAACAAACAACGTAAAACATTCAAATCAAGTGTAAAACCATATCTTAATGATAAATCAAGAAATTATGCAATTAAATTACCAAATTCATGACCTTAAGCCTAACAAATACATTAAAACTAATACTAGAAATATGCACAATTAGGCTCACATTATTATGCATGCAATTCTGAATGTATAGTTATGAAGTTATAATTTCACATTCTGAATGTATAGTTATGAAGTTATGGATGTGTAGTTATGCAATTCTGAATGTATAGTTATGAAGTTATAGATGTGTAGTTATGCAATTCTGAATGTATAGTTATGAAGTTATGGATGTGTAGTTATGCAATTCTGAATGTATAGTTATGAAGTTATGAATGTTTAGTTATGCAATTCTGAATGTATAGTTTTGAAGTTATGGATGTGTAGTTATGCAATTCTGAATGTATAGTTTTGAAGTTATGGATGTGTAGTTATGCAATTCTGAATGTATAGTTATGAAGTTATGGATGTATAGTTCAAATTATGCACAACATAACACCGTTAACGCAAATTGAAACTAATTTTTTTTTTTTTTTAAATCAGACGTCAAAACGACGTCATTTTTGCAACCGTGTGCACCATGCATGGTACACGCGGTTGTACAACATAACGCTCCTTAGGATTCCTACTTCCTAATTTCCTATTGCAGTATACATTATACTAAAAATTGATTACACATCATTTACTAATAAATATAATTAAAAGACAATTAGGATTCCTAATTCCTAATTTCCTACTGCAATATACATTATACTGAAGATTGATTTCACATCATTTTCTAAATAGAATTAAAAGAAAACTAGGATTCCTAATTTATAATTTCCTACTGCAATATACATATACATTATACTTAATACATAATGCCCTGTTTGGTAAATGATTATTAACTGTTAGCTGATTGAGTTAATTAGAGGGTATAATAAGTTGATAACATTAGCTGATTGTAGAAAGATGTTTGGTAAATTAGATATTAGTTGATAGTTGTTTGGTATAATTTCTTTTCTCAAAAAGCTAATTGAAAAAGTTACTTTGAGCAGCTTTTTAAATTTTAGCATTTTGGAGTACAAAAAACTAATTAACCAAACACTTATATTGATTTTTAAACGAAGTCAAACAGCTAATAGTGGTCAAATAAGCCAAAATTGGTTTATAAGCTAACTATTTTACCAAACATGGCCACATTTATATGATGTCAATATTGTAGAAAAAAAGAATAATTCTACTTGAACTCCCAAATCATACTCCCATTTTCTACTCCTTATGATATGACATTGCTTGATTGCTTAATTTAATAGGGAGGTCATGATGTTTATCTATTCTTTTTTTCTTCCTCCAATTAAATTTGAACACAAGTGCAAGTATGTTTTTGAGAGTGGATTTTTCGAGAAAAAAAAAATACTCCGTAACAAATATTGATAAAATAATATATATATATATATATATATATATATATATATATATATATATATATATATATATATATAATATTGGAATTTATAAAACTAAAATCCTTTAATAATTAAAAACAAAAGGTTAAAGTATCATCCCCACCATGAACTATAATGAATTCTTCATCCCGCACTCTAATCTTTCATAAGTGATATTTAGATCCATGAACCATTAATTTTTTACAGGTTACAAGTAATTTATGCTGACATGGACTTTTTATTTTTTTCTTCTAACACCTTCTCCAGCCAACCACCGGTAGTTGCTACTACAGGTGCAGGAGGGGCCAACGGGATCAACAGACCATTGGCCATCCGGAATTTGGTTCATGTTCGAGCTCCTGGACAGTGTTGCACAGCACGAAATCTGCACGTGCTCGATCGCATCCTCACTCACGTCAATGCAACCAAAGTGGCCGTTGAGTTTAGAATGAGCAGCAAAAGCATGGGCATCCGCGCGGCACATCTGAACCAAACCAGCTAGTAATCCCTGCAAGAGCAGTCCGCACCTCGTGGCTTGCATTGGCCACCGCCACACTCTTCTGTGACTTCCTTCTGCTTGATCAACGCTACTTTTACACACATCTCCCTCATCATTATTTTGCAGACCAACTATCTTGTTAACCATGGGTACATACACATCAGGCTAGCGGGTCTGCACATTTTGAGAGGCATAAATGTATGCATGGCTAAAGGGACAACACCTTAATCTCGATAGAAGAAGTAAATTGAGAGATGTGTAAATGGTAAGCAAATTAAATCTCACTTTCTCTTGAACCGGAAAGAGCTTCCAATTCTTTGGAGATTCAATCTTGAAGGATGTTGACTTCTTCAAGCTCATGTTGACACTGACGCTGCCATCCTCTGGGATCGTATTCTCCTCCTCGACATGAATCATCCTGTGCGAGCATTTGTGCTTGCCATTGTGGACCATCTGATTAAACACCACACCAAATTAGATAACATTACAAAAATCCATCAGAACTCATAACTATATATGGATAATCAGGCCAAGTCTTAACCGTGCAAAATTTCGTCTTTTGTAGATCAGGGTGCAGTGCCCACCCAAGAAATCTTGCAATTTGCTGATATAACACCAAAAAAAAAAAAAAAAAAAAAAAAAAAAAAAAAAAAAAACAGAATTTATAAGACAAAATTTTCTTGATTTTAATTAACACATAAATCAAGAAAATGGTACAAGAACCTTTTAAGAAAGAGGTATTAGCTAGCTAGTTTCTGACAGACACAAAAACACAAATAGATTTACGCATTCGGCGATAAACTTATGTTAATTTTAGCAGTGGTCTTGGGGTCAAGGAATTTCTTAACAGTGTTCCACAATAGCTTAAATCCTGTCCTGTCTACTTATCCGTGACATAAGTAGAAAATTTTCATTAAAAAAAAATCCCACGAAAAAAAATGAAAAAAAAGATCCTGATCCAGTTAATAGACATGCAGGAGCGCGACCATGAATTGGTCGTGGTTCACCACCTTATCCCACTCCGGCGGGAGGCAGTCAGAGATTGTGACGTTGCGGATCTCGAGGTCGGGCTTGCGAATGCCGGAGAACATGTTGTTGTTCCGACGGTTGCTCTTGGTGAGGTGGTAGTGTACAGAATCGATGTTGATGAAGGTGACGGCAAAGCCTTTCTCCGTTGGCCAGTAGGCGAGGTGGACGGAGGGGGTGACGTGGCCTTGTAGCGTATAACATATCAAGATTGCATGTGGCTTTTGGCCGGAACCTGCCGTAGCTTGGATTATTATTAACCGTGTTTAAAAATTCTCAAAAATGTGGAAGAGAAGAAAATATATCAAGATTGATTCTTGGGGATTGACTTAAAATTTTGGTCATTGACTTAAAAAAAGTCCACATCAACTAATAACATGTGCCATGTCATCTTTTTTTTTTTTTTTTCTTTTTTTGTCATGTCATCGTAGTAACCTGAAAACTTGTAAAAAATTCTAGGTGAAAAAAATTTAATGATTCGTGAATCAAAATATCATTTATGAAAGATTAAGGTGCAGGATGAAGAATTCGTTATAGTTCATGGTGTGGAATAACACTTTAGCCAAAATAAAAATACTAAAATTGAAATTTGAAACCCTACGCAGCCAAAGCCGACAGCTCTGCCTTTCTATCGCTTCCTCCAAGTATCCAAGCAAAGCCGACAGATTATGCTGATGTATTTGACCACTCTTCGCCGCCCAGTCTCCGCCTTCGTCCACCGCTGCAACAACGCCGAGAAGTCTGAACTCCGTTGGTAGGCGTTATAGTTATCTTATTTTCTACTTTCTTAACTGTGTTTCTAGTCGATCTTCGGCCCGGCTCGTTTGCACCCCTAATTTGGCAAATTATGTCGTGACCGTGTGCGCCATGCATGATGCACACAGATGCAAAAAACGGCGTCGTTATACTTAAATAAAAAAAATTATTTTCGATTGTTGTTAGTTACGTAAACATATGTTCATAATTTTATAATTTCACATTCTGGATTTATAGTTATGAAATTATGGATGTGTAGTTATACAATTCTGGATTTATAGTTATGAAGTTATGGATGTGTAATTATGCATGCAATTCTGAATTTATAGTTATGAAGTTATAATTCACATTATGAATGTATAGTTATGAAGTTATGGATGTGTAGTTATGAATGCAATTCTGAATGTATAGTTATAAAGTTATGGATGTGTAGTTATGCAATTCTGTATTTATAGTTATGAAGTTATGGATGTGTAGTTATGCAATTCTGGATGTATAGTTATGAAGTTATGGATGTGTAGTTATGCAATTCTGATTTTAAAGTCGAACGTCAAAACGACGTCGTTTTTACAACCGTATGCACAATGCATGGTGCACACGGTTGCACAGCATAACGCTCCCCCTAATTTGGACAGTTGTTATATCGTGGACCGCATTGATTATGCACCGCGCATCAAAATGACGTCGTTTCTTTAAGTAAAGAAATGGCGCGCTGTTAGTGTTAACGGAGTGACACTACAGTGTATCTAAACCGACACTGCCTCACGTATTATTTTTATATTATCAAATGAAACTGCAGTCATATCAAAATGATACTGTAGTTGTGGTGAAATGAAACTGCAGTATATATAACATGGTTGCAATAGGCGCTAGGCGCTAGTCGGGCGGTAGAGTAGCGCCTAGCGCCTAGACGGCCTAGGCGGGGCCTAAGCGGACTAGGCGGCCGACTAGGCGGCGAACTGAAAAAAAGAAAAATAGTGCACGTGTGTAAGTGCATATATGTCATATTACACACACACACACACACACACACACACATACATACATACATACATACATACATACATATGTGTGTGTGTGTGTGTCATATAAATGAAAAAAATTAGCAAGGTCGAGTCGGTCGGGTTAACTCGACTAACACGACAGAAATTGACGAGTTAACTCGGCGTAATCGGACGAGTTAGGCGCTAGGCGGCTGAATTAGGTGCTAGGTGGGCGCCTAGGCGACCGGTCTCCTAGGCGGGATCCTAGGGGGGAAATCGCCACGGCCTAGGGGCGCCTAGCACCTAGGCGCCGATTACTCGGTGCCTAGGCGGGATTTTTACAACCTTGATATATAAAATGAAACTGAATAACATTTCACATATTTGAGTGTATATTGTACAATGAAGATGTAATTATATCGAAATGATCATGTAGTTGTGTTTTAATGAAACTATATTGTATATAAAATAAAATTAAATAACATTTTCACATATTTGAGTGTATAAATATTGAATAAAACTGTAGTTGTGTTGAACTGAAACTGCAGGGTATGCAAAATGAAACTGAAAATATAATTATTTTTTGCAGAACGGTACGAACCGGATTCCGTTTCTTTTCATTAAATAAAACGACATCGTTTTGATGCGCGGTGCATAATTGGGTGCACAATATAATTTGCCTAATAAATAATCATCATATTTGGGCTTACAGCCCAATTTCAGAATTAGTCGGCTATGGCCCGATAGAGCTGTGATTTCTAATTCTATTTTTGTTTTGAAAAGGATTTCTAATTCTATTTATTTGTTCCATCGTACACTTGTATCTTCTTCTCCTCTTCCTCTCTCTCTCTCTCAGGTAATTTGGGTCGAATCCAATCAAAAGCACGAAACGCTTTGTGCACCCAATTAATTCATAGGTAAAGAATTAGAATTATCATATATTTTGATTTCCATTCCTCCATACAAATATTTCTCTACTGTTATTGTTTTCACTATTTCGTTATATGGTCATATGGATTTTTTGTTAGGGTTCTTATAAACGCGTATCGATGTAGACATTTGCTTGTATAAATTTGTTTAGTTGTTGATTTGTACCGTGAATTTTCATTCATTTGCTGGATTTTAACGATTAATGTCTCTTGTTTTGTTGCCCGTAAAAGAAGTTTGTTTGTGGGTTCTGAGAATTGCTTCGGTTTCTGTAATAGGCTTGTCTGAGGGTAGTTAGACGACATGACGACTGCAGCTAGACCTACATGGGCACCTGCTAAGGGCGGTAGCGAACAGGGTGGGACTCGGATTTTCGGCCCATCTCAGAAATACTCTTCTAGAGATATTGCATCACATACCACCTTGAAGCCCAGGTTCCTACTTGAACTCTTTGGCTTATTTTGTAGTTTGTTGGTTTCCACATGATTGTGTTAAAGTAGCAAGGTCGGTCTAAATATGGGTAAAATTTGCTGTCTCTTTGACTCCAATAATATGGTGTTGTTTGTTTATATAATTTGACCCATATACAAGTGGTTACTTGTATTGGAATGACAAATTAATCAGGCTTCTTAGAAGTGGATAAAAGATTTTGGTTAATTATCTGTTAAAATCAAAGTGAAGTCCCGCGTCTTCATGTGCAAAATTCTGCATGCAGGAGATGGCTGTCTACTTTATGTAACTCCATCGAGTTGCACTTGCCTAGTTCTGTTACCTAGTCCAATCAAATATTGTCACCCCATTGGCTTTGAGGTTTTCTTGATTAATGGGAGTGAATGTGATACAGATTTTAAGGCCCAATCTTCTCTTCACATTCAAGCTAAAATATGAAATTTAATAATTGATTTGCTTTGGCAATAATTGATATGTAGATTTAAATATGGAGAGCTCATGATGAGTTCTTCCATGATTTGATCATGGGGTCTTATTTACCTATCAAGCGTAAACCCGCTTGTGTGGCATCAAACCTAATCTCTTATCACTCTAAGCCAAGTGTGCGGCGAGAATCAAACCCAAAACCAGCCTAAATTTAATATGCTACTTTAATTAGTTTGTAATTCAGAGATTATTGAGATAATTTTGATATAGAAAACCAGTTGCCTTTTCAAGAACTTGTGATTGACTTTTTTTCCATGATTTGATCATGGGGTCTTCTGACTTATCAAGTGTGAACCCGCTTGTGTGGCTTCAAACCTATTCTCTTATCACTCTAAACTAAGCATGAGACAAGAAACAAGCCCTTATCTAGCCTAAATTTAAACCTACATATCAATTGTCTTGCCAAACCGAATAAATTATTAATTGTTATATTTTAGTTCGACATTGGAGAAGATTGGGCATAAAAATCTGTATTAGAATTGGTCTGAAGTCTTTGCCTTTTGAAGTGGTGATCCTACTGATGTAGTCAAAATTACAGATTAGGTTTTGTTTGTCAATGTTGGGTTTGTTTTGTCTTTAAATTGTCAGGCTTCATTTTACTTAAATTTAGCATGTAAATTCATAATTTGATTGTATGTGTTGTACAGAAGGGAAGGCCAAGACACTCAGGATGAGTTGCAGAAGAGGAACCTCCGTGAGGAACTGGAACAGCGTGAATCAAGGCACTTCTCTTCAAAAAATAAGGGTTATAGTGGTATGTGGAGCCTGGCTTTCTATTTCTCACTACAACTCCCCAACCCCCACAAAGAACACAATCACATACATTTATAGCCACCTATACATTATGTTGACCTTTTTGAACTCTTGATTTTATATGGTTGCAGATGACAGGGATCATAGAAAGAGTAGCCAACTCCTTTTAGAAGGTGAGTGGTATTGGCCTCTTTATGATGTTGTTTCATAATTGTAAACTTGGAAATGCTTTTACCAAATGATGCTGTGATGCCAACAGGTTCTAAAAGAGAGATTGAAGATCGAATTGTTCCACGTAGTGCAGATGCTGACGACGTAGATGTGGATGCCAAAAGTGATGATGAGAGGTAAACATTTTTTCCCCAGGATAATTGTGTGCAACTTGGGTTGGTAACTGCATTATGTGGCACAATGTTCACTTCTTATGTTGCTCCTCACCATGTATCATTTGCAACCAATTTTATACCTGCAACTAATTATATGGATGCTAAATTTTCCTCAATTTATTCTCAAAATTCAAAATGGGGCAATTGAATTTTATTTTATTTTAAAATGCCCTTCACCTCTTTTTTGTTTTTATTTTTTACTGCGCCAGTGGCGCACGCGTGTATTCACTGACAGTTTTTTCTGGTTTGACCTTTACTCTCTTTTGAGCTCTCAATATTGTGCCCTAAAATATCTACTTTGATTTAGTGAGGATGATGATGATGATGATAATGAGGATGACATGGAAGCTCTCATGGCTGAGCTTGATCAAATAAGGAAAGAAAGAGCAGAGGAGAAAGTCCGTAAAGTAAGTTTTTCTATGTGTTATTTATATTTCTTTTATGTTTGTTGTTGATTTCATGTCAAGGTGTTCATTTGAGCCCTTGTTAGACTTGGCTGAAGTGCAAGGTGTAAGTGATTCAGCCTTGTGATATCCACAACAGATGCAATCCATACTGATGTATTACTACTATTAAACTTTTAAGTTTTAAACACTTTTCTTTATTTTTTAATAAATGAATACGGAGTAATTAATTAATGGCTAAATGATTCATAATATGAGTTATCCTTACTATGTGGTGTTTAATTACTCTTCCATGGAGTGTGAAGAACACTAATACCAGAGATTATTTCTTATGTGTGGTACTAAAAATTATGTATTTTTTGCAGGAACGGCAAGAGCAAGAAGAAGAGCTCAAAGCAAAGGAAGGAGAACTCTTGAGAGGAAATCCGCTGTTAAACCAGCCAACATCCTTTAATGTGAAGAGAAGGTGAATAGTCTTGCACTTAGATTTTTGCTGTACTGAAATTTATTAGGTAGTCATTTTGTAAAAGTGATTTGTGTTTTTTTTTTTTTTTTTTCTCAGGTGGGATGATGATGTGGTTTTCAAGAACCAGGCTAGAGGAGAAGCAAAAGTTGCCAAGCGTTTTATCAATGACACCATTCGAAATGACTTCCATAGGAAATTTCTGCATAAATATATGAAGTGATAGTCATTGGATGCCCTCCCTGCCTGTACCATTAACTAGTGAGAAATGAATGGGATGAATTGACCTTGTGGGCAGACTATTTTACAATTCCTTGTCTAATATTGCTGTGTGGTGTTGGGTATTGTATAACTAGAGCTTCATTATGTTGGTCATCAACCTTGAAAACATTATCACAAGTGTATTGTTGACTTGAAAAACAGGCTATTTATTGTTGGTTTGCTTAAAACAGTTGCATTTTAAGTCACCATTACCATTCACACCAAATGCACAATTGGCCATTGAGCCAACCAAAACCATGAAACTATCAATTTAGAGCGAATTTGTTGGTATTTTCTGTCAAATTTTACAATAAAGATCCATTTTTGCAAGGTTCACCTTCTTTATCTGTATGTATTTATGTATGGCTTCATTATCTTTTCACTTAATATCAAAGATTGCAGATGTTAACGTTTCGGCGAAGGCAAAAATATGCACAACATCTATAAGCAAAAGCCATGGCCAGAAGAACCCATACTTCCTTGAGGCCACCATTCAGATTGACAGTGTCAAATGAAGGCGAGCTTTGTAGAGTCCTGCACCCGCCTTCACTTCCACACTCGTACAGCTCATCCCCGGTGTACTGCACTTTCAACAAAAGCCGAAAACCATAGTACATGAATGACACATATTTCAGCCATCTCATGAATTTTGGTATGTGCTGCAAATATATAGAAAAACAATTTGCAGTTACAATTTTGTTACAAAACACCACGATTTCACTCTATTTTCGCTTATTAGTACCTGCACATAATAGCCTCCAGTGAGCAGAAACAACAGCAATATTAAAGAAGCTATCATCCCTGCCCTTCTAATGCTCATCACTGCAGCTCCAAACAGCTCTCCTGCCCCCTAATTCACAAACAAAAAAATTACCCTAAAAAAACACACACTAACTGTCAAAGTCTAGTTATTTAAGTGTTTTTGATTTACTTGGCTGGTTACTGCAATCAAGAGGATTGCAGATAATGTGAGGAAGAAACATTGGACTGTTCTCTTGAAGCCAGCCATGAAATAAAGAATCGACATGAAGAATGTGGGATATGCAACGTGTGCTACCATGTCACACAAAGTGCTGCACACATAGTATACGCTTAATCTGTACATGTCTGCTTTCCTTTCCTTCACCAAATATATCTTCTCGAATGGGAAAACATATACCGCTCCAAAGATAGATGAAGATGTCCAGAAAATACAAATGTAGAACATTAAACCAATCTGCAATTCACGGGAAAGACTCCGCTTTTCAAAGATACAATAGTGCATTAAAGAGGAATAGAAAAGAAGATCGAGTTGGAGTTTTCGAGTTTGCCTGATCTCTAAGCTGAGCCTCGGTTGCAGTTGCAGACTTCCACCAAAGAAGGCCTAGGAGGATTGCAACTCCAAGTGCTTGGAACAATCGTAGCTTGTCGAAATAGTCTCTGCATCTTTCCTTATATGTTCTCTTTGACAGTATCAAGAATTGTTCCCACCACGACAATGTCCAGTCCTTCTTCACTTGAATGCCTATTTGGAGATGTGCAGGTGCATTTGGTGTTTCATGGTTCTCTTTCTTCTCTTTTGGTTCCAATTGGATTTTGTACTTGTGTTGTAAGTACTAATAGTTACAGAATCACACAATAAATAAAACAGGTAGAGCGAAATTAGCAATGAGTGAAAAGTAAAACTCACTCTTATTATGAGTCTCTCAGATTCAGAAGTCCCTTTAGTTGGGACTAAATCTTCAGGAACACTTATGTCATTGACTTGTCCAGTTGCTAAATCGAGCAAAAATTCTGCAGGGTTCATCACTATTTCCGGGATGAATCTTAAAGACGAAAAGTATTCCATGGACTCTCTAGCTTTCCCATAATAGACCGGAGAGCCTTCAGATATTAACAAAATCTTGTCAAACATGTGATATATCCTACTCGAAGGCTGGTGGATTGTTGTGATAATTGTCCTTCTTGCCTGTTGGTGTTACCAAAACACAATCTTTATCATCATTGCAGACAGATTATGCAGGGAGGGCGAATTAAATCAAGAAAAGTTTGCACCTTTGAGAGACGTTGGAGGATCTGAAGGAGCCTATTTGCAGAGGTGGAGTCCAAGCCCGAAGTTGGTTCATCGAGCAATAGTAGTGAAGGATCAACAAGAATTTCATACCCGATACTGGTTCGTTTTCTTTCTCCCCCGGAAATTCCCTTCACGAATCCTCCTCCAACTCTTGTATGTCGACATCTATGATTTCCAATTCGAGACAATAAAGCAGAAATAGTAAATGTTCAATGGTGTCATATATAGTTTACACATTTCTTGACACATACCTTTCAAGGCCTAATTCCTTAATAATCATCTCAACCCTTTGATATTTTTCTCGCTTGCTCATGTCGCTTGGCAACCTTAAAAATGCAGCAAACACTAAGGTTTCCTCCACTGTCAGTTGTGGGAAAAGCACGTCGTCTTGTGTCACAAACCCCACCCTACAATCCAATGGCATAAAACTCAGTATACACTAAAAAACTGCAGACAAAAAGAGTGAGAGGAGAAGCCACCAAGTCACCAACCTCCTTTTAAGAGCAGCACTGTATGGAATGTCATTGTAGGTTATAGTTCCTTTTACATTTTCGCGCAATCTGCCTCCTAGTATCCTTAACAGTGTTGTTTTCCCACTCCCAGAAGGCCCCATCAAGGCAAGAATTTCCCCAGGCCCTATGCTTCCTGTGATCCCCTTCAGTATCTGCTTATAACTCTCTTGCTCACTTTTCATCTGTGAAGACTCCACTGCCTTAACCGGGTTCTTGAAGGATGACTGGCTAATCTTCACCTTGTACTCCACATCTGCAAACTACAACACAAAACAAAACAACGTTTCTATCTTCAAACATTTCTGTCTCTGCTAAAAGTCTAAGCTGATATTATGATGTTCTAAACGGGGAGAACGGGGTTTAGCCAAGACATTACATACCTTGAGGAATATTGGAAGGGGGTGGTTTATATATGAATGTGATGTTTCATCAACGATGTCGATTTCTGAGCTTCGACTTGTGAGGTAAGCTTGAGGCATGAAGTCTATGTTATGGCCAAAGCCATTGCTGCCTGCAATTTGCATAGAGCCCATGGTGGTGGGAGGGGACAAAGGCAAATCTTCATGAATTTCTTCATGCCTTCCATGCTCCATTATTATTCTTCTCTTTCTTAAATGATGTTCAAGAAAGTTGTGGTATATATGGAAGTCAATTTCCCAGGGAGTTTTTACCAAAAATTAACCTGCCTATGTGTTAAAACAATCTGTTAAGCCACATTCTTTCAATGCCTTAACCGAAAAAGGCTTTAGACTAGTCATTATTTAGTTGTTACATGCCCAGAGTATGCTCTTGATGATTTACCATTTATGACTTTTTTTTTATTTGCCAAAATAAGTGTCAAAGAATTGAAAGAACAATGAGATACTATATTGGTGACATTATTGGAATCTTTTGTTTGATTATCATCAAATCCTCGCTCTGCTACTAAAAACAAGTCTTAAGTGAAACTTCTCATCCACTAGACCAATGTCCTGGAGACAATAATTTATTAACTGAAAATATATAATATGTTAACGGTAAGTCCATAATCTGAATATAATCTATCATGTGCATGGTGGACCCTAGTCCATAAAATAACAATTACGCATCATTATATATCAATTATTTTTAAAAATTTTGAACCAACCTATTTATATAATACGTCATAATTTAGAATTTTGACAATTCAAAATTTCTTCCAAAAAAGGCTGAACCCCAACCCTAAGGGCCCCCACATCCCGACCCGACAGAGCATTTCGAAGTTTCAAAACCACTGTCACATTATTAATGTTTATACCATTTTATTTAATTAACCATTTAAAAATAGCATGAATATTATTTGTGTTTCAACATTTTATAAAAATCATTGTGAATATTGTTAGATGTCTGAATTAATTGCTTAGAGCAACTCCAGCGGCTGCAAATTTAAGCGCCATCCCACCATTTTGCCAAATTCTTGTTCTCCAATGTACAGCGCCATTACGCCATCTCGCCATTTTTTTTGGCGATAATGAACAGTGCTGCGCCATATATGGCGCGACACTGTTCATCTGCGCCAAATATAAAAAGGAGGAAAACTTACCATTTTGCCCTTGCTTTTTTTTTTATAATTCTAAATATATCCTTTAATTGTTTTATATGTAATTTTTTATTTTGTTAAATACTTATATTTAAAGTTTGTATTATTAAATATAAATTATATCATTTGAAAGATCTCATTGAGACGATCGAAACAAGACTAATATTGAATATATATTAATTAAAATTTTAAATACATTAAACATAACTAGAACATAATAATAAAAATTAAATTTTATACTATATTATTATTGTGAAATAAATTCAATTTTCAATAAATTCAATTTTTTTAAATAATTAATGTTAAAAAAAATTTAATGTTAATAAAAATTATTATTTACATCACAAATTATATTTTATATTAAACTAATTAAGTTCGAACTAAGTTATATTAAACTAATTAAATTCGAAGTAATAATTGAGAAATTAAATTATTTTAGTGTAGAAATTTGGTGTTTTGGTGTTAATGGGTTGGAGATTGAATAAAATTTGATGTGAGAATATTCTTTCTGATGTGACATTTGGAGAAGAAATTTGGTGTTTTGGTGTGAATTGGGTTGGAGATGCCCTTAAACAAGTTTCTGAATAGGTTATGAAGATCCAACAATTTATCAAAAAAGCGTATACAACAATGTTGGAAAAGATACATTAGTTTTGAAAAAAGAACGTGCAAGTTTTACATAAAATTAAACAATTTTAAAATTTGATTTTCAAATCAATTTTGTAACTTATAAAAATAAAAAGTAAGAACGGACAAGACAACCTCATGACATGTAATCACTAATCACTAGACTAGACTACAAGTCAAAAATTACAACAAATGCCGCCCAGAAAAGTTTAAAGAAAAAAAATTAAAATTAAAATTATATGAGTTAATTATATTTTTTGTCTTAGATTTATCTCACTTTTAGGTCTTTTTATTAGAATATTTTTATTTAATTTTAATATTATTCTAGCATGATTATTTTTAGTTATTCATAAACAAAATCGTTAAAATGTCGTAAAATATAAAGACATTTCAATATTTTTATACTTGAACTATTATATTTTTTATATTTATTTTTTAAAAAAAATTATAATTATAATTAAATACCCAAATACCCTTGTATTTAATATAAAAAAACTTTATATTTAACGGTATTTAAACTTTTTTTGGTGATAAAAAATTAAAAATGATCATACCTACCATGCTTAAAAGTAATAAATGTTGGAATAAGCCCGCATGAGTAGCTCAACTGGTTATAGAGGTGAAACTTTGGAAGAATGACTAGGGATTGAGTTTCACTAGCGGTAGTGTGGGAGTGAGGGAGTGGGGCTCCTTGTGTGCAGTGAGCACCGGCAATTAGGCCACTAAACACTTCAAAACTGTGCAATTTTTTTTATAAATTTTATTATTAAAATTAATTATTAAAAATGCCAACTAAGCTGCTACGTAAGCAGGTAACCTGCTAAAATTGATGGTAACCTGCGATCCGGTAAAATTGCATACGTTTAGAGAGTTCAGTGGCCTAATTGCACATTTTTTGAGTATTCAATGACCTAATTGCACTTTTTTTTTTTTTTTTTTTTTTTTCGTTCAGTGGCCTAATTGCATTTTCAGGTTATGTTCAGTGACTAATTTGAACCTTATTCCATAAATGTTTGATAGAAAAGGAAATTGAATTGACATTTATTTTTTCTTGGTGAGGATTGAATTGACATTTATAAATTTAGTACAGAAAATTGAATTCGGTCATTATTGTTTCTTTTAAAGTTTGGAAACAAATAGATCTACAAAACAGAGGCAGAAGATCTGGGAAAAGAAAAAGGAAGGAAATGTTAGTCATATTACTATAAACAGAGGTCACAGCATCCATTGTCAGAGCTCCACCCTACCAAAGTAAAAGAATAGGAGGTGGAGAGGAAAGTGAAATTCAAAAATCGGGTCTGAATCTAACGAACAGTTCTGGGTTTTAGAGAAAAAATGGTCTTAATTAAAGAAGAGATGATCAGGCAGTTAGGAGCTTTGATGGAAGATAGTGAGTGAACTTCTCCATAAGCCCGCTTCACATTTTTTGTGTTAGACTTTGTTCTTTTGGATCTGGGGTCTTCACATTTTAGCTTGCTTATTTGTATTTTGATTTGTTGCAGTTGATGAATCACTGAAGATGACTTTCAAGGTTTTATCTTTTTTCCTTTTCCCTAGATTTGGAAGCTTCCGAACTGATATCGTGGCTTTGGGGTTTTGATAATTTGATCTGTATTTTATACAACAATTCTTGATTTGGTTAATTTTCTTTATCGGTATATTACTACTGTATTTCATTTGATTGACAATTAGTCAATGAGAGGTCAAAGGGATGCTTGAATCGTTAGATTTGATTGACTACTTCTGCTATTTTGTTAGTGTGAGTGTTAACAATGGGTTGGAGATGCTGAGGTGATTTCTTTCCCATTCTTGCTTTTTAGTTTTTAGCCCAATCCAATGTGGGAATCTGATTATGGTTCTAGTTCAAAATAATAAATTTAAGTCAGCTAAGCATCTTGAACCATGCCAAAAGCTTTGTTGTTATACAATTAGTACAAATGGATTTATTTTCTCAATGGAACTCTGGGATTCATTAAGATGGGTTTGTTATTTGCAGTGCTTCTTTTAATGTTTGAAACATTATTTAGATGTCCCTGTATTCTGTCTTTGCAGAATGTGCACCAAGGGTTCCCAACTGAGACTCTGGTGAGGTTTCTAAAAGCAAGGGATGGAAATGTATCTAAAGCCCATAAAATGGTTAGATGCTATGATACATAAATTGACACATATTCGTTCATAGTTAAAGCTTCATGCAAAATTATGCTTTAGATACACATTTGACTTGCCACTTCTAATTTTTTGAACACTTTACAGCTTACTGACTGTTTGAACTGGAGGCTCCAAAATGAGATTGATAATATATTAGCTGTAAGTTTGTACTCTTATATTTCAAGGTTATCGTGTTGGGCATATATGATACGGAGTAGTACTTAATCATATATGTTTTTTTTTTTGTTTTTTGTTTTTTTTTTTTTGTTTTTTTTGCAGAAGCCAATTGTCCCTTCTGAGTTGTACAGGGGAATTAGGGAATCTCAGCTTGTAGGGATGACTGGATACTCAAAAGAGGTACTTGTATAAATCTGAATTATCAAGATGTACATTATTAACATGGGAATGTAGCTTGTACCTGTCCCTTCCTATGTTCTTAATCAAGAGAAGTATGGTGCGACTTACTGATACTGATGCTTTCATAAGTTCTTCTCATGTTCTTTTTCTTCAACTTACAGGGCATTCCTGTCATTGCTGTTGGTCTGGGGCTCAGCACATTTGATAGAGCATCTGTAAGGATACCCTTTCTTGCCTGATAGTTTGGTAAAAAATTGGCCTATAGACTAATTTTGGCTTATTTGACCACTATTAATTGCTTGATTTAGTTAAAATATCAATATGAATGTTTGGTTAATTAGCTTTTTGCAACTCCAAAAGGCTAAAATTCAAAAAGTTACTCCAAACAACTTTTTCAATTAGCTTTTTTGAGAAAAGAAATTATACCAAACAACTATCAGTTAACAGCTAATTTACCAAACACTTTTCTACAATCAGCTAATGTTATCAACTATTTATACCCTCTAATTAACACAATCAGCTAACAGCTAACAGTTATCAGCTAACAACCATTTTACCAAACAGGTCCTTCTTAATTTTGGCTTTCAGAAAATCTATTATTACCATAATTTAACCTCTGTTTCTTCTTCCGTTCTATATTATTTTTCTCCAATTAAAGTCATTTTTTGTTTCTTTTGATATTTATAGATTTTTTTTTTTTTTAATATTAAGGTTCACTACTATGTTCAATCACACATACAGATGAATGAATATCGTGACCGAGTCATGTTGGTGAGTACTAATTCTATTGATGTAGAATGTAGATTCTAAAGATCATTAAATAGCTTTTTAATCTAAATAAACTAATTGATTCTTATCTTCTAGCCTTTTGCAACGAGAAAGTTTGGTCGGCACATTAGTACATGTATAAAGATATTGGACATGACTGGTCTTAAGCTTTCTGCTCTAAATCATATTAAGGTATCTTTCATGTTTCTTAACATTGTTATTACTTTTAATTGACATCCTGAAAATCTGTATTTGTATTTCATTAACTATTACACTCTGATTGTTCCCAGTCTGGTTGTCAACTCAACTTTTTTGTTTGTTTTTTTTTTTTTTTTTTTTTTTTTGTTGGTTTTCAGCTATTGACTACTATCTCTGCCATTGATGATCTTAATTATCCTGAGAAGACCGAAGCATATTACATTGTTAATGCACCATATATATTTTCAGCATGCTGGAAGGTTTGGCTCTATATGTGTATTTCTATTAGTACTAGGATTTGTATTGCAACTTTAGCTAATATTATTAAATGCTTGCAGGTAGTGCGTCCTCTTCTACAAGAAAGAACGAGAAAGAAAGTTCTAGTGTTGTCAGGTTCAGGAAGAGATGACCTATTGAAAGTATGCAACTCCTTACTCTTTTCATAAAGAAAGTTATTTATTTATTATTGCAGTATAATTCTTAACTTGGTTTCAGATAATGGATTATGCATCTCTCCCTCATTTCTGTAAAAGAGAGGGCTCAGGGTCTTCTCAGCATTCTAGGAATGGTACCATCGATGATTGTTTTTCCTTGGACCATGACTGCCATCGGCAGCTTTATGATTATATTAAGCAGCAAGCAGAGCTTGTGGAGCCCGCTGGACTAATCAAAGAAGGGTCGTTCCATGTTGCTGTCCCTGAACCAGATCCTGATGATGCTAATATTGCTAAAACCTTGGCATCGGAATTTCAAAGACTCGGGGAGAATGGCATTTCCAAGTCGTTCCGTGAAGTTAAGATCAATGGTGAGGTCAAAGCTGAATAAATGAGTGCATATCGTTGACATACAGTTTGGGTGACTGTTCATCGTAATCCTGGGTATTAGATGAGAGGATTTCACTAAGCTTAGATATGTTGTAGTATTGTATTACTGGCTTGCATCATCTCGATGCTGGAGTTAGGACGAGCAATGTTATAACTTGAATTTAGAGTGGGATAGTCGATCATGTTGTTTGAATATGGTATGGATGATGGTCATATTTTGCCTCTCTTCTGTTGTGAAATAGCCTATACTGCTCATTTGTTGACCATTTGTAATTGTTGGTTTTGTTGATTAATGTTTGAACCTCTAATGAACAGATTGTTACTGGTTTACTAATTTAACGAGCCCAAGATGTGTTCACAGTTACAAATCACTATACAGATTTTCTCTGGGCAGATAAGGAGAACCAACCTGTACTTGCCTTGTCCTCTTAGGAAGGATGTCACTGACATTACGCAATAGAACTTTCTTTGCGACAGATGTCTTGGACTTCTCGGTCTTTGGCACAGATGACTTGGACTTCTCTAATTTGCGAGGGTGCCTCACCTCGGGTAAGTTGTGTGTTTGTGATTCAATGCCATCTCTTGTGCCTTGCCCTGCGTTTTGGTAATTATGAGGAAATGATTCAACTACCTTCTGTGTTTCTGCCAGAATAGAGTGTGTGGCTTCTGCTACTTTCTTTTGCTCTCTTTCCCGCCACCGTCTGAGCTCTCCTTCCACTACCTGTTTTGCGGTCTCGTCCATTTCTGCTCGTTTCAGAGCATCCTGAGTAGCAGTTCTCATGTTGTCAATCTCCTTCCGAGCAGCCTCGAGTCTCATGAGAGCTCCGTTTTCACTTGCCCTTACAGCCTCCACTTGAGCCATTGCAGCAGCCACTTTCAATTCAGCTAATCTCTCTGATTCCCCGACTTTCTGGCTTAAGAAGTCGAACTCGTCTCTTGATATAATAGTAATTTGAGCACCAGACTCGGGAGTTGAGGCACGTGTAGCACTAGCTCTCTCTGACAAAAGTTTAATCTCGTCAAGAGCCCTATTCTCAGCTGCTTTTGCTTCTTCGGCCGCTTCCAATGCAACTTTAAGTTTCTTTTCTGCTTCTTCTAATGTAATCCTGGCAGAATCAGTCTCTTTCTTTAGCTCTTCCGCTTGTTTCTTCATTTCATTCGTTTCATTTTTGGCGTTTTCGCACTCTAACCTAACCTGCTCGATAGTAGCAATCATTTCTTCAGAAGGGCGTCTAACTTTGGACTCTTCTGCAAGTGCTCTTTCGAGCTCAGACTTTGCTCTCTGAAGTTTGGCATGCAGATTCCCAGCAAGTGATTCGGTTTCTGATTCCTTCCCCATCAGCTCCGAGTGTTCTTTCTTCACATTCTTTAGTTCCAATTCAAGCTCTGCCAGGTAACTTCTTTGCGAGCCCTCTTCTTCCAAAGCATTATGCAGTGATTCCTTAGCATCATTAAGCTCTGTAGTAGCATCTTTCACTGAAGCAAGATCTGAGGACCTTGCACTATCCATCTCCTTTCTTAGAGCTTCAATTGCAGACATGGTTTGAGCTAGCTGAACTTCGAGATCTTTTATGAGGGCGGGTTTGATCTCTTTTCTCAACGAGGTTAACTCCTTAGATAACTCCCCGAGTCTGGTCTTGTATGATTGCCTCTGGACACCCTTCTCAGCATACACTTTTCCTTCATCTTCCTTAACATGCAAACTAGCAAGTTTTAGCTTCTGAATCGACTCCTGTAATGTTTCGATTTCTCGGGAAACCTTGCCTGCTCTCTCCATGTTAGCTTTCGTAGCTCGCTTAGCTTCTTCTGCTTGCCTATCAACTGCTGCTTTTTCTTCAATTGTCACAGCACAGTTGCTACGCATCTTTCGAACCTCGTGTTTTGCTGCATCAAGTTTAGCTATTGCAGTCTTGTACTGTTCTCTAGCAGTCTCCAAGTCTAGATTCCAAGAACCATCTACTTTGGAGTAGCCATTGTTTGCTTCTTCTGTTGCCTGAATTGCAGAATCCTTTGAATCACAAACAACCTTAAGCTTCTGGGTCAGATCCTCAACAGTTTGGTTGGCACTTTCAAGCTCACTAAGTGCTTGGCCTTTTCTAGTTTCAACATTCTTCAATTGTTCCTTCAGTCTGCTAACTTCTTCCTGAACCAAATGCAGTTGTCTTTCCTTTCAAAATCATGCTATCTAATTAAGTAATGTTACCAGTGATCACAGATTTATACATACTGGGAAAACAAGAAATGAACTAGATGGGGGATGGCTAAGGATAAAAATTTGTAACTACAAGGTCATCTGTTCGAATTCCAACCTTCTTGGTTTGAGCTGGTCAGCTATGAGCAATCTAAGCTGGTTTACTCCCTTGTGATCCTTTGCCGGTTAGGATCACAAGGCGGGATTTACCCAATGAATACCCTCAGGTAGTGGTTACGAATTTTCCTCGTCACCCCAAAAAGAAATGAACTAGTGTTTGCTGCATGGCTGCATGATTTGTACAAAGTACAAACTCATGTTGAGCATATATAATATATAAACATGAATGTGCAGATCATTTCGACTATCAGCTTAGACTTTTAGTTGAGATCGGACACATCATTTAAGAGTAACGTGAGGGGGTGTGTTGAGCATATAATACATTCATAGACAGTTAGACACAACATTTGGCAAGCAACAGAGATAAAATCTTCTGCATCTGAATCAAACTTCTGATCTAACTTGGGAAATAATGTGTACCTCTGTAGACTGGTGATTAGGTTTCTTGATTGCAGGATTGTCTCCAAATAAGGTGACAGCATTCTTGACCTTGGCAGACTGGAATGGTGGATTGGTGTCTACTTCTCCGACCTCCACTTTCGGAGATCCTGACGTTTTGCTTCTGTCTTGTGCAACCATACTTTCCAATTCTACCAAAGCTTTATAGAATTGCACCAAGGCCCTGAAATTATACACTATACACAAAGAAAAACAACTACTGAAATCAAGATTTCATACAGAATGAAGAGGAAAACAACATGGGAAAAAGGAATAAGAGAGGCACCGAGAAAGATGATCCAAGAAAACCCACACAACAACATAAACTCTGGACTCTCACTTTTCTCATTGTCGTCAACTTCACTGTATCCTGAACAGTTATCTTTTGGCCAAATGGGCTCAGAATGGAATTAAAACATGCACGAAAATGCCCAGAAGAACAGCAAAAAGGTGAAGAAAACAATGTTATCGTTGGATGATCGAAACTCAAGATTCCAGAAAAAGATAGAGGAATGAAGATCTAAAAGCGTTTTATTTCTTTTCAAAGAAAAGAAAAGAAGAGAGCTTTGAATCTCTTGGAAGAGAAATTTTATGAATATATGCATTTAGCAGCTGATCAGGGAAGAGGGAGAGAGAGAGAGAAGAGTGCCAGGTCAGCGGATGACGCCGTCCAAGGGTGGGGCTGAGGAACAGGACGAGTAAAAGCAGGAATGGGTAGATCGATCGATATGCGTTAAGTTGCACTTTTTACGGTAACAAAACAAACATCTGCACAAATTTGACCACCATGAACCATGATGTTTCTTATAAGTTCACACTTCACACATTGAGTTTCCATGGACCGCTTGAGGTGAAAATTTATTTAGGAATTAGTGCATTGCCATGAGTTGTGCACCATTAATTATGTTGGTATTTGGTTACCCTATACATATGCAATCGTTACACCCTGCACCACGGCGCACAGTGCACTGTGCGCCCCGTGCCTCCTAAAACGACGTCGTTTTGGGAGGCGCGATAGGAAGTTGACATGATTATGTATATTTCAATATTTGTTTATACAATTGTGTATATTTTTTATTATGTATATTTTTTATTATGTACATTTTTTATACAATTATGTACATTTTTTTATACAATTATGTACATCCGAATCAGAAAATTTTTGTGTATTATGTTAAAAATTTATGTTTATTATGTATTATGTTAGATTATGTGTATTATCTTTTTAAAAAAAGTATGTGTATTTTGTTATATAATTATGTACATTCATGTATACAATTATGTGTATTCTAGTATAACATTATGTACATTTTTGAATATGAGATTTTTTTAAAGGAAAATTAACTGCCAAACACTGGGTAGCGAAATTTAAAAAAAAAAAAAAAAAATTGAAACGACGTCGTTTTACATCTGGGCGCACAATGCAACGCGCACCGTAGTGCAGGATATAAATTGCCTACATATGTGTGCTGATAGGATCCATGGATTTGGGGCTTGAGTTGGGTACTCATGAATTGGACCCTTGCATAATAATATTGAGCTAGTATGGATCGAGGTGCATGAATCCAATGCGTTTGAGTCAGGTTATCATTCTTCCCCAAAAGGTTGAATCCCCAATTCCAAGACTCCACAGTCCCCACACTCCGGCTCGACAGAACATTTGAAAGGATATGAATCATGATAACTCGGCTAAACCACAGAGGCTAGACCTTTGTTTACTACGCATAAGGAGCCCCCCTCACTTTGGAGGTTGCTCTCACACTGGCACGGGTGAGACTCAATCCCTGGTTATTCTTCTCAAACGAAAAGGGAATTCCTTTATAAGGAAATAATTCTATGAAAATATTATTTCTGGAAAAATACAAGCACAAGCAACTAAAATGTTTAGGTTTAATATATAAGTCGAGCGAAATACTCTATTCTTAAAACTTTATTTGCTATATCCCAAAGGTGGTATGAGCGTTATAGCTAAGATTTTCCAAGATAAAACGTACTACAATTCAATGTTTGAACACTCAAACAAGTGAGCCCGACGAACTAGAACACTGGTAGAACACATACAGAGGAGGAGGAAGATGAGCAGAGGTTTTTGAGAGCAAAGTATATGCGTTGTTGTTCTTAAATTTCAACCTTCATAATAAACAACCATTACTATGGAAATTAATTTTAAAATTAAAAAAAAAATGGAATTGATTGCAATTAATTCGGTAACATCAGAATTAATACCTAGAATAGTACTCCAAAAAAGAGTGGCTCAAAACGTGAGTAGTTCGAGAGGTAACTACTCCGAATGGTACCCGAAAAGTTACGGAACAAGCTGACGAGTCAAAATCTACCATTCGATCCTCAAGGCAACCACTTTTCCCCGCAGGTGCCGACGTACTGAGTACGCACGCAAGAGAGAACATCTATGCTATACAATTGAACATCTCTCTAAAAGGGTCTTGTATATCTAGTGATGCAAATTCCATTCTTTTTTCAACGTGGGACAATAACTAATAAGTCTTTCCACTTTCATTTTCCAACTCAAATGTGTCTACTTTGAGAATCAATTTCTCATTCACCTATTATCTGTTTTGAGCGTACAATATATCAATCTCTTTGTCTCACTACCAAGAACTTGAATTCACTTTAACTCGGCCCAAAACGGAAGTAAACCCTACATATATTTGTACCACGAAATAACCACTTACAATGCCATTTATGCTATTTTTTAAAACATCCCTATCATGTCCTAATATCCGAAGTAGGGGTATAGTAATAACCTATACATTGGGGCCTTATCCCGTTACTTTGTAGGCTATATATCCCAATTAAGTAATGCAAGTTCCTTCATTGCTCTCGTTCTTAATGCATTACAACTAATTAAATTGCTACATAACCCTTGTGGTAAAGGTGAGCTCACTGGTTTATCCTATAATTAGACAATCTCTAACTCCATGGAGACTTTGAAGGGTATATAGGTGCATATTCCATATATTCTATATTGTGGCATTATGGCTAATAACTTTGTGAATTTTATGACTCCTTTTTTATCAAACACAACTGTATTTATTAAGTTATTAGAATATTTAAGAGTAGACAAATTATTTCTTTTGAAAATTTGCTGAATCTTATAAGTGGAGGTAAAACAAATCTAAAAAGACTAAAGAAGTGTTCATTTGAAAGACTATTTTGGTTGCGTAAATAATTAAAATGTTTTATATTTTTTTAAAATAAAATTTTAATCTTTAACGTACTCTTTTACCAATTGATACAATTGGAGATTGATGACGAAATTGAGATGCTAGTAAATATTGATAAAAAACATTAATGTCGATGAGATACAAAGACAATAATTGTGACAAATTTCTTTCCACATTCATCTCGATTGTGTTAAGATTCGAAATAAGTATCATAAAACAAAATTTAAAATTGATAGTTACACATATTCTTAGAAACAATGACAAATTTTGTAAAGAATCATAAGTATTTCAAAAAAAAAAAAAAAACAATGACAAATTTATTTCAATTAAATACTCAAAGATAAAAAATTATTTGTTAAAAAAAAAAAAAGAGATCAAATTTACCTCTTTAACAACGTGACAAAATATGATTTTTTAATTTGAGGGGAAAAACAAAACGTTTTATTCAATCAAATGAGCAATACAAGACAGAATAGAAGAAATCCAACTAACAGGACTAGGCTGAGAACTAGCACCCCTAGTAAGAGCATGAGCGAGCTTGTTCGCTGATCTAGGAATTAAAATTAAAAGACACTATCTCGAAGTGTTGATAAAAACTACGACACTCATTGATCACACAACTAGCATCGAGTAAATAATTTATGATCAATTACATAATGTTTATACATCAACAATACATTAAATATTAATTTTACTATAAAATAATTTGAAGATAAAAATGTTAAAACATAGTGGGGAGATTTTCCTAATTATTATGTGGAAATAGCAAAGGGAGAATTAAAATGGAAGAGCTCAGAGGCGCTGTTTGTCGTCGGATTATTAACGTTCAGACAAGCTGTGGAGACCCAAATCACCACAAGAGCGCGGCTATCATTATTGCTACACTGATGCACCAGCAGGGAATCGAACCCGGGTCTGTACCGTGGCAGGGTACTATTCTACCACTAGACCACTGGTGCTACTTATTTTTTCCGGTTATTTATATATATTAATAGGATATAAGGTTAGTTTAGGCAAAACCGAACCTCTATCTATATATCATTTATTTTTATTATGTATATAAAATATAGAATAATAAAATAAAACAACAAAAGAAGAATATAGTATTCAAATGAAAAAAAAAATGTTGGTGTATTATATTGCACCAGTGATATCCTATGTTTTTTTTTTTTTTTTTTTTTCTTTCTTTTTATTGTTCTTATATAAATGGTCATTAATTTTAGACAAAATGGTCAAATAGGCACATGTACTAACATTGATTGTTCATCTAGCACCATGAATTAAAATATGGTCCATCTAGGCTATTATACTTCCAATTATTTTTCATCTAGCATTTTTAGCAAGTTTCGAACAAGTAAACCATCTAATTTGCTTACATTGAAAATTGAAAATTAAAATAAAAACAAAATGCTGACATGTTATTTTTTCATACAACTTGCTGTTTTTGTCACTTTTTTCTGCAAAAAATTCAAATTTTTTTACGTGTTTATGAATTATGTTGATTTCTGATATGGCTTGAAAGATTCCAACTCCTCCTCTATTACGAGTGTTGAGTCTGAAAACACGTAGGGGTATTCTAAGCGGAATGCATCCATGTTGTTTTCATAAATTTGCCCTGCAAAATGTATATTTTTGTTGTGGAGGGGTACCCGATCGCCTTCAGAAACATGGCCATCCACTTCCCTCGGGAACATATAGCAGTCTCCTTTGTTCGTTGTCTATCTCTTTCTCTTTCCAGTGCTGTACATTATATCTCATAACGCGAAGTTCCTTAGTTTCAACTTCAGTCAGATTGTGGATGCAGTCAGTAAACGCAACTACGCGAGCATGTCCTTTTCGTATCTACACTCAAAGAAAGTCTGTTAATTAAGTTACACATCAAACATTAAATCAAAAGTCGTGTTAGTTATTATACCTCAAATGAAGAGCAATATACATATCATCATTATCCCTTAGTCTATTAATCATCTTTTTTCCAAGCTCCTCAATCTCAGCATAAACGCACTATCCAAAACCAAAATAAAAATCAATGTCAATAAATGGGTTCAAAAACCACAAAAGCGGTAGCATACTTATTTCACAGCCGGCGGGAAAAATAGATTCACTGTTTTCTGAAAAATTCGCAGAAGAAATTAACATAATCTGGAAATACGTAAAAAAAATTGAATTTTTCTGCAAAAAAAAAAAAAAAAAAAAAAGTAGTGACAAAAACAGCAAGTTAGATGAAAAATAACAC